TTAAGAAGAATAGGACATAATGTTCTAACAATGTTATCACCAAACATTTTAAGAATGTTTTTAGAGAACGTTATCCTACCTTTCAGAAGAACGTTCTGGGAACCAAACAAAAACTTCCCGCTGAAAACGTTTTAAGAATAGGAGGGCATAATGTTCTAACAATGTTATCACCAAACATTTTAAGAATGTTTTTAGAGAACGTTATCCTACCTTTCAGAAGAACGTTCTGGGAACCAAACAAAAACTTCCCACTGAAAACCTTCCTAGAACAATGACTGTAACACTCTCAGAATGTTTTTAGAACCAAACATTTCTAGCTGGGTATATGCCTCTCCCTGCTTCCACCGTCTACACACACACAACCAAATTACGTCTATACCATCAGTAAGGAAAAAGAGTAAGAACTAAGATGTATAGGTGAAGAGGCACAACGTGTCTACGTCAATGCACTCTTATTAGATTATTTTATCAACTATAAGCTTTATCAAAAAGGAAGGTCTTAAGCATACTCTTAAAAACGGTTAGGCTGTCTGCCGCCCGAACACAAACTGGAAGCTTATTCCGCAAAAGTGGAGCTTGATAAGAAAAGCCTCTGGCTCCCATTGTACTTTATATATATATATCTTTAGATAGTTTGTTTCGTAGTTTCTTTGGGCCGAATACAATAACTTCAGTTTTGGCCGTGTTTAACATAAAATGTTTTAAGGTCATCCACGTTTTTAAGTCCTTGAGGCAGTCTTGAATTGTATTTAGATGATTGGATTCATCAGGCTTGATGGATAAATATAGTTGAGTTTCATCCGCATAACAATGGAAATGTACAGAATGATTCCTTAATTCCCTAATATTGCCTAGCGGAAGCATATATAATGTAAACATGAGAAGGTCATTTGTGACTTTAACCAGAGCTGTCTCTGTGCTATGATGTGTTTTAAAGCCAGACTGAAAATCTTCAAATAAATCATTGTTTTTTAAGTAACAGCTGGCAGCTGAAGGTGAATGCGTTGAGTCTCTTGTGCCAGCTAGCTGATTACAAATGTGGTTTGAAACGATAACTGAATCAGCTTATTTCCCCTTACAGACACAATTTATTTTTCTCAATAAAATAGGTGTTTTTCACCCCAACCGCAGCTTAGGTTGCTCAGCACACTGACACAGTAGCATTATTAAAAATGATAATGTCCCTTTACAGAAGTGCCTTAAGGTCACTTCAGCAAAAGTGAAATGTGAATTTGTCAGTGTTAAGTGTTAAAATATTAATTTTAACACTTAAAAAGTAAACAAGTGAAAGCATACGGTATGTTAAAAATGATACTCCAGGCAAATCTCTTCAGTTAAGAAATATAAACCTGTTGTGGTTGTAAAAGGCCTTTTGGTTTCCTTCATCACAGAGATTAATGTTTATAATGTATTCCAGAAGCCATCATTCCGGCTGCACCTTACAACAGTTTATATTCTCAGTAGATTTAAATTAAAACATTCACATTTACATCAAAATAAGAATACTTTTGTCTCAATCCTCAACCCTCAAACCTGGAAATGGATCACTGAGCTGCCCCATATCTATACATTTATACATTGTATCATCACATCCTTTTTTTGGCACGAGACATTTTTTGATGACATATTCATATGATCCCACCTTTTAGGAAAGCTTTTTGATCTGCTACTGGTCAAACAATCTACACGGGCATTCTCATTGGCTAGGCTGATGTTGAATATGTATACCAGTGTGCTGAATTGAATAAGCCATGACGGACTGGTCCTCCTGACTAATGGTATAGCAGGGCCTCTTGGTGAAGCTTGGTTAAGAATAACCTAATTTAGAAAAGGCATTTAGCCATATTTTGACAAAATGTAAGTACAGCTGGAGAATTATGTCAGAGATCATCTTAGATTTTGGAAATTGCAATATGGCATTGTCTTTTATTGTGTGTATTATTGCGTTTACCCACTCAGTCATTATATCCACATTACAAAAAACATAATATTTAGTCAGATATATTGGATATTTGGTTATCTGCATATTGCTCACCCAGCCCTTAGTTTAAGTGGGAAACCCACTGAGCAAAAGGAGTTACAGTACCAAAGTTATTTTTCATTATTATTTGAATGTTTTTATTTGTCATTTTGATACACATTTCAACCATGCTAAGTGGCATAGGGCAATCCTTTGTAAACTTATATTTGAGCCATTAGGGCATTCATTGGTTGCTGATTCAAATTGCAAACTGGACCTTTCTGGTGATTAATCATTATAATCACAGTGTTTCCTTTGGAGCAAAAATAAACGGCTGTGTCAGCAACACTGATGCTATGATCTGCAGACTTTTAGTCTCTGTACCTCCAGGCGAACCTGCCCCTCCTGATTTGCTGTTCTCATTTTCTGCAGCCAAAACAACCTGCCCATGCACACACCGAAAACACCCACTCTTTTCCATTGGTAAAGGGATTTATGTTATTTTTCTCACACACTTACACTCACCTTCAAATATACAATCACAGCAAACCCAAACTCCCACTCACTCCCCAGAACGCTGGAGAGGAGCTCCTCAGAAAACTTCTCGCATGAATGCTTGCCATGAGGAATCACAGTTGGGATTTGACATCAACGCATGTTTTCATGTAGGGATAAGAGTGTGGATATCTCTGGAGGGAGGCAGTGCCTTTGCCAGAGGCACAGAGCCAACAAGATTTACAGTGGCTGCACTGGAGAAAGGTTTCACTGATCACACACACAACTGAGTCCCAAACCAAGGTGACGTTTCTGAGGAGCAGAAGAAAATACCTCGGGTCACAGTGAAGTCCCTGTTATTATACATACTTTATTTCTGTTACATCCAAAGTCACTGCCATACTGGGAACTAGTAAGGAGCATTGGGATTCTTTTGAATTGCAGTATGTCTTCACAGGGGCATTGTAATCTTGTCTCCCGCTGTGCTGTTGGCGAGCCTTCACAGGATAAGCATGTTGTATATGCCCCACATTTTGTATCTTTTCTTGAAGAGTGTAATGCGCACTTTTTTTGACAGTTGCTGTCACGTTGGTGTGTATTGGTTGTTTTACCAATTCTTGCATGATATGATGCCCTGAACAGATGCCATTGTTAGAGGGACAGGCAGGAAGGAGTCGAAGAAGAAGGTTGGAATAATGCAGCTACGCAATATCCCAAGACATCCAGAGAAAGAATCTGCTCTTGTTTTTAGCTTAGCTCTGTGCATATAGTGCTGAACGCACGCACGCACGCAAACACACACACACACCATTACCTGGCTAGTTCCCTAGGATGAAGCAGCAGTGAAGGGAGGTTGATTAATTGCCATTTACACGTAAATGGTTACTGCACTGCCCTTGTTTGATTTATGAAGTAAAACACCCTGATATAATAAGTTATTATTAACTGTGTGATAAACTAAGCGCCGGTTTTGTTTCCTTGAACATCCCCGGTACATTCAGTACTATGTAGAGCTGAGTGAAGAGCCAGAATGTCTTCTATCTTCTACCACAATGACGTTGTTGTTCGTCCTTGCACTTTATGTGTGTGCCCTTTGGTGTGTTTGTGAGCACAGGCTTTGTATGAGTGTGTGCAGAAAGCGCAACGTTCTCAGTGATACACAATACCCATGAGTCCTTGCTGCTCCTCTGATGCGATGCTGCCGAGCTCTGCTGATGGCGGTGATATGTACCCGTTTGACCTCTTATCAAGTCAACAGAAATGGGAGACCAAAAGGAGTTAGGGGAAACAATGTCCCTTCAATTTGACCCTGCTCTTTTTACACCCTTGACAAGGTTAGAAAACGTTCTCAATATGATGTGAATGATTTCGAAAGAAAAGTAGCTAAATTTTGCGCTCCACTTTAATAATAGAAACAGGCTCGAGCCTATGAGCGCTCATCACAAATAATTCAGTTCTTATTGTCGGAGGTATGTTTGTCGAAATCCCAGAACTCATTGCTTTAAGTCTTATAGTATAAGACCGTTAGGCTTTAGGCTGCTAGACTAACACCTGGCTGTTTCGGAAAAAAATAAAAAATAAATCTGGCTCTTGACACAAAAGCATGAGCAAAATGCAACTATGCCTGACTGCAAAAAAAGGATACAAATGTACCTTTTTATTTTTAGCTCTTGAATAATTCTTCGTCTCTTTCAGTTTTCTCCTGTAGTTGTCACGGTTTTTACCCTCTCTCATTTGTCTACTGTCCATTTCCTAAAACAGCTCATCTTCTACAGTCATTAAGACAATAAAGGCAAAATGAAATTATTTGAGCATACTAAGCTCTGAAACACGGCCGATAAGTTCATATTGAAAAATCAATTACAGTTCAATGTTGTCCCAAAGCAACAGGAGGCAGTTGCATGTGGCCTAGATCTGTTAGCATTCCGTTTCTTGGATCTCACCCAGTGTGACAATTGAACAGCTTAGTACTTCTGAATATTAGTATTCACTTGTTATTGCTGAGGCCG